GATCCTTCTTCAGAAAAAAAAACTTGAAATGTTATACTGTGATCATTTACTTAATTACTCTTTTTTTTTCTGAAGAAGGGTCTAGGCCCGAAACGTCAGCCTTCCTGCTCCTCTGATGCTGCTTGGCCTGCTGTGTCCATCCAGCTCTACACCTTGTTATCTCAAATTCTCCAGCATCTGCAGTTCCTACTATCTCTAAAACACTTCTTGTGCCCACATTATTTTTAAAGTATACTGATTTCGTTAATGCAATATCAAGATTTACATGGAAACCATGACTATGTCATTACAAAATATGATTTATTTATGGTTTGTAAAATGATTGATTTATAGTCACATAGTGAAACTTAATGAAGGACTTAACAGCACAACAGTTTCAAAATCTGGGCATTTATAGTTGTGCATGTAACAACTAGAAGCAAAATAACCCAAAAGGTGTAGGCTGTACTTTGTTTGCTTTTTATTGCATCAAAAACACATGACTGATACAAAGTGAACAATATCTTTGATTTATATTGAAAACAATTTCAATCTTGCATCTGGAGACCATTGATTATTAGTGCCTTAACATATGAAACCTATTCTTGCAATTTGCCTTAAACTTTAAAATGTTTACAATGATCTCATTTGGTTTATGACTGTACAGTGCCTTCACACTTTCCAGAAACAATCAATATTTTGATGAACATAGTACTATGTTGCGAAATTTGGAATGCTAAATATTTCTAGAAAATGTTTTATGAAAGATATGTTCAGCATATCAACTGTAAATAAGCTGTATTCAAACAACAAATGAAATTGAAAAATAAGATCAAGAAGTTAAATTAGCAATGTTCAATTGTTATTCAAAATTGGAAACAAGCAGCTGGAATTATGAAGTGTTACACCTCAAGTTGTGCTTTGTTCCATGTGAGGAACTTGTTGGATGGAAGTTTTCTCCAATTTAAATATAAGAAAGCCCAAAGCCATTTATTTTGCCATTCTCATTGTAAAATCCCACACTAACAGAATTCACTCCTCTCCTTCCACCTGTCGAGGTTGAACCAAGCTGTTCAGAAATTTGATGTATTTGATACAGAGATGAGCTTCCAACCATATTTCTTCACCAACCACAGTCTGCCTGACCTGTAAGACAACATATTTCCAACTCTATATGATCATCCAACTCTCTACCTATTACAACTCATATACTACTGAAGGCCTCATCTTCTGGTCAGCTGTGGCTTGACTATTAGAACACAGTTCTGAAAGGCCTCCCACATTCCTCCTATTATTAACTTGATCTAATTCAAAACTCTGCTGCTTTTGTCTTCATTCATACGAAGTCCTGTTAAACTGAGTTTGTTGGCTTACACTGGCTTCTGGTTAAGAAACTCCTGAGTTATAAAATTCACATAGTCAAATCTGCCCACGGCTTCGCCCTCACCATTTCTGAAGTCTTCTCCAACCCCACAATCCTCTAAGATATATGTACTCCAACTTCTTAAGAAACAACAAAATTTATTACTTCATTGTTGGTGACTATGCCTTCACCTGTCTTGATACTACTGAAATTATTTCCTTAAGCCTTTCCACTTTGGTTCCTCCTTGTATTCTTTTAAAAAATTATTTAATACATCCCTCATGACCAATTTTGCAGAAGTGGGTTTGGTGGATGAAAGGTCTACCAGCCCACAGGAGAGAGATAACCAGTTAGGCTCACTGACAACTTATTTGTGGTCAATTAAAGGAGGTTGACTGAAATTTTCCAATCAGCATTCAGGATCCTATTGGTGAGAGTCCCAAGTGACCATATTTCTAAAGATTCCAATACAATTTCTCTGTTACAGTATAGAATTTCTTTTGCTGATGAAAATGTGATATTTGATTGCAAGTTACATTGTTTTCAGTAAAGCCATTCTTTTAAACAAAATATGCTTTCTACACAGTAGAAATGGGCTGAGTGATTACGACAGTCATTTCATCTTATGTCTCCAATGCTTTCATTGTCAATTTAGCTGCATTACTTTCCGTTGTAGAAAAGACACCCATTGCTGATAAAAGGATTGCCTAATTAAGGCTTAATATAAGTTTAAAACTTCTCTGCTTTTCAATTGCCTCCCGTTTGAAATGACCCTGTGTTTTTTACTTTGACCTTATTAACATGTATCATTAATTTAGTACTCAGAGCTGGTACTATTCTGTTCTTTGTTTATCCTCCTTCTCACTCACTAATAAATGCGCCTAAATATAACACGCAATATCTTGTAATGCTAGTTACGTTTCAAAATATTTCTTGAGGGCAACAAGGTAATATAGGTACTTGTTCCTTTTTTGCCATTGTAGGCCTGAAGAGGGAGAAGGCTGCCAGCAATGTTCTGTGCCAACAGCAAGCTAACCCTTCACAGAACTCTCTAAGCACCAGCACAGCTACACACATACCACAGGAGCTAAATCAATAGTGCCATGAGTTACAGTGCACAAATTAGATGGAACAAAAAGCCTGCAATAAAAGAAAGAGTTGTCTGACACCCAGAAAACCACAGGTTGGCTACTGACAAACACTGCTTTGGGAAATGAAGCGGTGCAATGGAATTAAACAACTTTTGGATGACTTTCAACTGTTTTTATGATTTTTGATAGAACTCTCTCTGTCTGTAGAACCGGTTCTTGCTAATTTAAATGCATGCAACAAAATCACATCTTCAACTTGTAATTTCCACAATTTCATAATTGTTTTCTCAAGCAGAATGTTGTGCATGCTGTTTAATCCCTTGAGAGTAAGAGGCAGTCATTCTAGTTTAAATGAACTACGATCCTTACACAATGGAAGATTGATAGGACTCACACAATCACCTTCCACATTTTGAGTTTCAATGTTTCTTTTGTCCACATGAAAACTGGGGGACAGGCTAGTTGGAATTCCTTTTTTTTGTGCTGATTCACTTAAATAAAGAGTTATATGACTTTCCAGATGACTGTGAATGTTCACATTTAATTAAGTGTTTGTTTGTGACTCAAGACTGTGTGAAGCTCAAGATGCCAAAGGTAGCATGATTTGACACAGTTTTAATAGTCTGTTCGTGTCCAACTTTTAAAGTATTGATTCAACACTCATAATATACAATACTAAGACTTGACATATGGAATATATTCACTGCTCAAATCCTGATATTTAAGTCACATTTTTTGAGGTTCACTTTTAATGTCAATATGTACAAATTGTTTTAGCCTGTTATAGTGAAATGATATCAGTATTTTCAGTGTTAACATTTCAGTGACCCTTCTTCAGAACTGAACTTTTTCAGCCCTGAAGAAGGGTCACTGGTCCCCAAACAGTAGCTCTGCTTTCTTTCCACAGATGCTGCCTGACTTGCTGGGGTTTTCCAGCAATTTCTGATTTTGTTTCTGATTTCCAGCATCTGCTGTTCTTTGCGTCTTTTTTTCAACATTTTTAATGGCAAAATTTTATATCAACCATGCCAATCATGCTGTAATTAAGGGTCTCTGACCACGAAAGCACTGTTTCACTACTTTCTCCATCTTTCACATCTTCTGCATTGCCGGTTCTCTAACACATTGATTGAGCTGCTCTGCCTTTTTTTTAAAACGAGATCCTCTCTTTAAATAGCTGTTTCTTTACAATAGCTAAAAGTCTTCCCTGTCTAGGCAGGATATCTCTGATGATCTTGACTACATAGTAAGTTTTATTGTGTATCTCAAGTTTAACACCTATGTTATTTGCAATTTGACAGGTGTATTAAGGTGTGTTTTCACTTTTATTTGGCAAGATCATAAGAATACAACTTTTCAATACCTTACAAATTTTGACTCTCCAAATTTTGTAATATATTAATTGCTGTATATCATATGTATGCTCTCTGTGTTACATTTACTTCCTGTAACGC